GATTATAAAAATTATCCACGTCAGCGATTTTCGGTCAAAATTGGTTGAAAGAACTAAATTGGCAAATTATAAAAAGATACAGGACTAAAATTAACAAGTTGTGAAAATATTTAGGACTAAATTGGTACAATTGAAAGGTCTAAAACTAAATTGATCACCGTACAATAAGTTTAGGACATTTTGGACAATTTTGCCTAGACAGGTTAACTCACCTTTGAATGAGTAAACTGTCCGCATTTTAGACAAGGTGTGACTGAAGACATCTTAATCGAACCCAATGCGGGCAGTGAATGTTGAAATGTGTCCAACTAGAGAGAAGGGAAGAAAAGATGCCAAAGCAGACAGAAACTGAGCTTAAATGCCAGTGCCGTCAAGAGTGGATTCCTCTAAACCTATCATAGATTCATTTGTATTTCCCAAGCTTGGAATTGAGGTCGACATGTTAGGAGCAATTAAAATTTCTGCCAAATGACTTGAAATTTCTTCGTTGGAATTCATGAAGATGAGCAGATTATGGAGGAAGAACACTAGAAATGTCAAAACTTATGTACGGCGCTCACTTTAGTACCAAAAGTTTCCGTTGGATCATTTAAGTGCCAAACTTTTTGAAATATGATCACTTAAATGCCAATTCCGGTCAGTTTGGCAGAAAATCCGACGTGACATTTTTTTATTAATTTTTGAAATCGATGTGGCTCGCCGGAGGTTTAGTCAACAGGTACACTTTAAAACGACATAGTTTAGCAAGTATACTTCGATTTTTAAGTAAATTTTTTGATTTTTTTTCCTTATTTTCTTTTTTTTTTTTTCTTTTTTCTTCTTTTACCTTTGACCGGTGATTGTACACCGACCATCGCCCATGTCCGGCCTCGCCGGATTTGGCGAGGGGAGCCCTCGCCGGGGCTTGCCCACCCTCACCCAAGCGAGGGTCGGCCTCGCCTTGCCAGATCTGGGTTGGGCGAGGCCGGCCCTCCCTCAGGTCATGGCGGCCTCGTCGGCAGCTGGCGAGGCCGCCCTCAAAAGCCACAGGTGAGGGCTAGAGGTCGACCCTCGCCTGGGCGGGGGCGATAACGGCCTCGTCCGGGTGAGGCTAGGCTGCCGGCCATGGTCGGTGGTCGGTGTCCGGTCACCGGCCAAAAGTAGAAGAAGAAAAAAGAAAAGAAAAAAATGAAAAGAAGGGAAAAAAGAAGAAAATCATAAAAAAAAATTAAAAATTGAAATATATATATATATGAAAATGCCACATAGACTGATTTTATTTAAAAAAACCCAACTCAGATTAAAATTTTAATTATGAAAGCCATGTATTAATTTGGCTGGAATTTCTCGCCGTTGGCACTTAAGTGATCCGGCGAAAACTTTTGACACTAAAGTGAACGCCGTATACTAGTTTTGGCACATATAGTGTTCTTCCCCTGCATATTATAAATCAGCAAGAATCGGCTCGGGAGTACTCTCAATTAAGATCACACTTCCAGAATTTCCTCAGGGCCGGTTCGGGCTTTCGAAATTGTCTTGGTCATCCATCCATGGCACATACTAGTGGAAAAACCTTATGTAAAACTCTGTTCAGGGGAAAAGCTCATGTAAAACTCGGGTTCATTTACCACAAGACTTGCTACTCCGGCTTATAGTTCAATTTTTGCCCATGGAGGAGTGGCGGGATTGATCTCAACTAGGATCACTACACGATGCCTAATTAAAACAAGGGAAACGGTATGAAAAGTAGCACGAAGTTGAATGACCGAGAAAGAAATCTGCTAGAATAGGGACAATGACACAAATAGTATTTGAACTTGGCCCAATGGACAATGTGATCCCTGAACTTTTAATTTGTTCAATGTATTTTTTAAACTTTTAGCCTAATATTCAATATGGATCTTGAACTTTTAATTTGTTTAATGTGATTTATGAACTTTTCGGTATATATTCAATGTAGTCTATGAACTATATAAAAATGTTAAACGTAGTCTTTGAACTTGGATTAATGGAAAGACTACATTAAATATTTTCATATAGTTTATGAACTAAATTGAACATGTACTGAAAGTTTAGGGATGATATTGAACAAATCAAAAGTCCATGGACCGCATTGCGCATTAGGTTACTACATTGAACAAATTAAAAGCTTAATGATCACATTGCACGTTGGGCCAAACTTTGAGAACTGTTTGTGTCGTTTTCCCACTAGAATAACATTGCTTAAGCAGATACTTGGTTTCGGTGGTGATAATAAAAATACCCAACCCACATTTCTTTGCCCTACAAAAATTTCTCAATCCAGATACAAAGAAAAGTTTGAAGAATTTAGTTCCATGATTTCTAGGAATGCGATACCCATTGACTAAAATGCTCACTTGTTGCTATCGGTATATACAGATTGTCTTCTTCAAGTTAGTCCAAAGAGCGCTAACCATCTAAATTTCCACAAAAGAAGATATTGCATTTCCCAACAACTTGGATATTAGATATACTCCAATGGTGTTTACAAATGTTTGTGTTTGGTGAAGGCAACGGCCGGTCACTCTAAATGAAATGCAGGAGGCCAAAAACTATTTTGACAACCGACACCGATTATCGGGGCTCAAATGCCGAAATTTCGCGTGGAGGAGAATGCAATGCTCTATGTATAGTTCTATCACCAAAAGTTTGGGAAATGCATAGAACATATTAAAAGTTCAAGAACAACATTGCATATTGGGTTAAAGTTCGGAAACGGCATTAAATAGATTAAAAATTCATGAACTATATCATATATTTGGTCAAAATTTAGGGATCACGTGGAGAGAAAAATAAAAAACAAGGAAAGGAAAAACGGATAGCTATTGCTCTAGCCTTTTCTTTTGTTCGAAATTGCCCTGGTTCAGAGACCAGCAGATAAGAGAAGAGGAACTTTTCTTTCTTTTCCGTTCGGAGAGAGAACAAGCACTTCCGTCATATAGGGCCCGTTTGGTAACGTGCCAAACAGTGAAAATTTCTGTTCTTTTGTTCCCAGAAATAGTTTGGGAACAGAAATGCGTTTGATAAACTTTTTGTTCCCGGGCACATTTTTGCAAATATTTGTGCCGAAAAACAGTTTTGGAAGAGAAACAAGAAGTAAAAAAAAGTTGCTTCTTGTTTCTCGGCACAATTTTGAGAATCAGTTTTTTTTCTTCTTTTTCTTTTTTTTCTTTTCTTCTTTTTGTGTTGCTCTTCTTGGGTTGTGGCCGGTCGCCGGCGACCGGCCATGGCCTGGGTAGAAAGAAAAAAAAATTAAACAATTCAAAATATTATTAAAATATTATTAATAAAAAGAAATTTGTGTGTAGTTACCAAACGCATTTCTGTTCTTTTCTATTCCAGGAATAGAAATTTTGGACAGTTTACCAAACGCCTTCAAATGCACAGAAATTGTTTCCGGGCACAGAATAAAAAAAAATCATTTCTGTTCAGAAATAGTTTACGGGCACAGAATGGTTGTCATGCGTGCCCATAGAGTCCTCTCATGCTCTTGGGCTTAACTTATGCAATGTGAGAACACTTTCAACGATACAGCAAAGGCAGAATAATTAACTTTACGGGGGGGCTTTACATTTCGGAGAACGATCCTTCATGGACCCTAGAAGGCTCGTGTTACATATTGCTCCTGATATAAAGATGTCAATTCGTATTATTTTTCTTATATCGCTCCCTAGGCCGTTGATGGGAAGATATGTTTACAATTTCAATAACAATTGCGTCACGTTAGATGCGACTTTTCTAGGTACTGCTACAGTTATAAATTGGGTTCCCTAGTTTTTGAAATTTAGAACCTACTTCGCATATCTTATCAATCGGTTCCAGGATCTACCTGGAATCCGACCAATTTCTTTTGTTTATTTTGTTTCATTTTTTTCTTCCTTCTTTTTTTATTTTATTTTTAGTCAAGCAAAACGAAAGTGAACGCAACAGAAAAAAAATTTCATTTGTCAATAGCAACAATTCATAAAACACGAACACGTAAAATAAAATAAACAATAAGAAGTTCAAAACACGTAATTCATCATTCTCGATTTTCAGTCCGATTCTTCGGATCCCGATTTAGTTCTTATTCAAGTATCGGGAACTGAACCACACAGTACCAGTTCCACTTTTTTTAAAATCGGGAACCGGACCGGTTTCTATGATCGGTTCTCGATCTAACTTGGATCCATGCTCATCCCCGGGTAACAAAGCACAATCCTTTTAAAAAATGCGTCGTCAAACACACGTGCTTCGGCACGGTATAATACAAACACAATCATACCAAAACCGACTCTGGAAATCGTTTCTCAACTTAGAAAAATTAAAATGTTCTCTTTCAAAAATCGAACCGAATTGCACGGTTCGGTTCGGTTTTTGGTCTGAATCTGACAAAAGAATACCCCATCGAAATTCGAAATCATCAAAGCCCATTGGGCATTTCCCCAAAATCGACAAAAGAGAAAAAGAAAATAACAACGTCAAATGATGGGATAATTACACAAACAGTCCCTGAACTTTGACTCAATGTGCAATTTGATCCATGAACTTTTAATTTATTCAATGTAGTCCCTGAACTTTAACCTAATATTCAATTTGGTCCCTGAACTTTTAATTTGTTCAATGTGGTCCCTGAACTTTTAATATGTGTTCAATTTAGTCCCTGAACTATATGAAAATGTTCAATATAGTCCCTGCACTTGAATTAATGGAAGGACTATATTGAACATTTTCAAATAGTTCAGGGACTAAATTGAACACATATTAAAAGTTCAGGGATCACATTGAACAAATTAAAAGTTCAGGGATCAAATTGAACATTAGGTTAAAGTTCAGGGACTACATTGAATAAATTAAAAGTTCAGGAATCAAATTGCACATTAAGTCAAAGTTCAGGGACTGTTTGTGTCATTTTCCCTCGAATGATGGCTCGTGACGGGGGGGGGGAATATATAGAGCACGATCCTGCCAATCCGAAGTTGCTGGGCAATTTCTCTTCCACGAGCTTCTTCTGCGGCTCTCAGAGAAGGAGAACCAAAAGCGAAACTCCACACCAGAGACAGAGAGAGAGAAGAGACAGAGAATTCTCACCAATCCCTCAAGCGAAGAAGAAGAAGAAGAAGAAGAAGAAGAACGAGAAGGTACCTTTCCATCGCCAGATCCAGCGAAAGGACCGGAAGGGATGTCGTCCACATTCAGCGGCGATGAAACTGCGCCCTTCTTCGGCTTCCTCGGCGCGGCGGCTGCGCTGGTTTTCTCCTGTAAGAATTCTCGTCACCTCATCCCCCCCCCCCCATAACATTCTCTTTCTTCCCTTCCGATAATGTTTTCAATCTCGATCTCCGATTCATCGTTGTCGCTGAGATCTGAATCGCATTGCTGTCGAAAGATCGGTGATCGCTTGTTTTCGTGCCTGCCTGTTCATGTCATGTTATGTTCTGGAAAGAATCAGACAGTCGTGTTATATGTCTGAGATTGTTCGACCTGCCCCTTCTAGTGCTTAGCATTTTGGAATTACCAGAGGGTAGCTAAGGATTCTCATTTATCTCTATGTTTCTGATCGGCTTGTTGATGCCCACTTGTATCTCCTGGGTTCGTTTAGAAAATCAGATACGATAATTCCCAATTCAGTTCTTTGTGCTCTCGGGTGTCTGAAAATTGCCTTTGGCTCTGGCACCGGGTGGCACGGCTTGCCAGGGTTCTTTGGCACCAAGAACAATGACTTATACATCTAAGGAAAGCTGGGTAATCGAATTTACTGTAGACTGGAGATGATTGTGATTGCCATTCTTCGGTCGTTCATGCGTGTTTATGATATGGGTCTGTCTTTGATTTCGCTGAGCAGGCATGGGAGCTGCATACGGGACAGCCAAGAGCGGGGTGGGCGTAGCATCTATGGGTGTGATGAGACCTGAGCTGGTTATGAAGTCCATAGTGCCCGTGGTTATGGCAGGAGTGTTGGGTATTTACGGGCTGATTATCGCCGTTATCATTAGTACTGGGATTAATCCCAAGGCGAAATCTTATTACCTCTTTGATGGGTATGCGCATCTTTCATCTGGCCTGGCTTGTGGTCTTGCTGGGCTGTCAGCTGGAATGGCAATTGGAATTGTTGGAGATGCAGGCGTCAGGTATGTAACACCAGTTTCTCCTACATTTTTTCATATTAAGTTTTTTTGCGATAATACACCAACAAGATTGTTCTGCAGTAATCACCACATAAAGCATACACAAATAAATAGTGAACCTTGTTTTCTTTTTTTCCTTTTTAAAAAGCATGATTTCAGATTTAGATGATTTAATCTAGTGTTTGATAATTTAATTGGCGCACAAAGTATATTTATCCCTCTATGAGCATGTTTTTTGTGTGGCTTCCTTATCCTTAGAATGACATTTATCTCAGACTTTCATGTTCAATGATGTGACATGTTCTATGCATTTCTCAAGATCTTGCATTTGAGGTAAAAAAATTGCCTAATGACTACAACCGTGGAAACCTCATTGTGAGGCACGGTATCAAATGAAGTCAAATGAATATCATTTTGTTTCTTTGAGTCGGGAGAGACTCAAATTTTGAGTCCACATGATCGTGGAAACATAATACTAATGCCTCAGCATACTAACTAGTTGGATTGGAATGAAATTTTAGCAACAATGCTTTGCATGGATTGGTCAAAAAGACTGACATGTTAGCTAGTGTTATGTTAGTTGCCTGGAGCAGCACAAGGAAATTGCATCTGATGCTTTTTAATGCAAACAACAAGAGTATGTTAATTTTGGCAGCGGCATTCATGCAATAGTGTGCATTACCTACAGCAGAAGTCTATGACACATGATGAGTGTTTTAAGTGGGAAACACGATTATCAGTTTCTAGTAAATTCTTAATCATACTGACTTATTATTGGAGCATAGGATAAAATCTGTCGCCAATAGGCTCATCCTTCTTTACATCTTGAACTTTGATTTATCTTTTTTAAAAGAAAAAGAAATGAAAGTTGCATATGGGATATTGAAGACTCCTTAAAAAAACTACCCATGAATGAATGCTATCTACTTGTTATGCAGAGCTAATGCGCAGCAGCCAAAGCTTTTTGTTGGGATGATCCTTATCCTCATTTTCGCCGAAGCACTGGCTCTCTACGGCCTTATTGTCGGCATCATCTTGTCTTCTAGGGCAGGCCAGTCCAGAGCAGAGTGACGAGGACCCATGGATGCATTACCAAACTTATTCCGCAGGCTCTTTGCGGAAAGGTTATGTAGTCTCAGTTTATAGCGTTAGTTGGACAGGCCTCGCAAGAATCCGATTTCTTACCGTCTTTCCAAGATGAGAAGAGAGCGTCTCTGCATGAGAAAGGCTTGTGAAGCTCTTCCTTTGCCCCCCTTTTGATTCGTGTATTATATACATTGTGAACCTTGATTCTGTGACTGATATTCTTGAGATTTGTGTGCATCTCTTACGGATTGCATATATGTACTGAGGCCTGCAATGCTCTTGAAGAGTGGTTTTCTGGTTTGGTTCCGAAGCTGATCCATGTTTCTTTAATCACGTGCCGTTTTTCTTGCTTGTCGGCAGGAATATTAGGTCAGTCATTCTCGATATCTGGACATATGCTCCTCTAAATGAGCATACCAAAAAACAAGTTGTAGACTCGTAGTTCTTAGTTCTCATTGCCAAAGCCTGACACAAGCCAAACCAGTCATTGCTCTCTCTCTCTCTCTCTCTCTCATCCACATCTCTTGTGCATGGTCAAATATGCCTAGCATAGACAATTTTGTTAGCCGGCACCACACGACGTGTCGGGGCAATTTAATTCCACGGTCAGTGCAAAAAGCCAATTAGTCAATGATCGACGATTGGGTGATTAATAGGTGAGATAAGTACTTCGGAAATCTTAGAACTTGTCATAAAAAGACTCGATTGCATAAACTCGACAAATTTTAGATTTTGATTGTAATTTTTTATGAAGTATTATGACTTAATTACGCTGTCACGACAAGTTTTAAAGCTCCCGATGCTTCGGTTTCACTACAGCTTCAAGTGCTCGCATCGTCCATCAATGCTAATGGTGCGATTTATTGTTCTAAACAGGCGGCAGACATAAAAAATAATCCTTTCATGCCATTTCGTTGGAACGTCAGGTATCATAAAATTGAAAAGAAGTGTTATTCCCCTAAAATATTTTCAATCATGGTTTATGCAGATAAAATGGGAAAATTACCAAAAAAAGTCTTAAACCTATTGCAACGATGCTAATTCAGTCATAAACCTTTTTCTTTACCAATTAATCATAAACCTTTAGCATTTTTACCAAACCAGAAATTTACCAAGATTGACAAGTTCTTTTTTTCGCCCTTGCCGGCCCTCACCTCTGGCTAATCATGGACGTTTAGTCAAAATTGGTCAGATGGACTGAATTGACACGAATATAAAAGGTTTAGGATCCGATTGGCCAAAAAAAAAAATTAGGATTGAATTGACACAATTATAATAAATTTAAGACTTTTTAGGGGGAAAAGTGCCAAAAAAGTCCTAAACCTTTTGCATTAGTGCCAATTCAGTCCTAAACCTTTTTTTGGTGCCAATTCAATCCTAAACCTTTTGCATTTGTGCCAATTTAGTCCTAAACCTTTTTTTGGTGCCAATTAAGTCCTAAACCTTTTAAATTTGTGCCAATTTAGTCCTAAACTTTTTGTTTTTGTGCCAATTTAGTCCTTCTGGACAATTTAGACCGGAATTTGCCTACGTGGACGCCTGCCGGCCGGCGGCCGGTCACCGGCGCCGACGTGGACAACTTTAATATTTTTTTGAATTATTTTTTTTTTTCCTTTTTTTTTCTTTTTTTTCCACTTTTTTTTTTTGGTTGTCTTCCTCCTTCCTCTGGCCGGTCGCCGTTCTGGCGACCGGCCAGAGGCCAGAGGCCGGCGAGCTCGAGCTCGCCGGTCACTGGCGAGGGCGAGCCTCGCCCGACCGTGGCGAGGCTCGACCTCGCCGGATCTGTCGAGGTCGACGCTCGACCTCGCCAAATCTGGCGAGGTCGGGCCTCGCCCGACCATGGCGAGGCTCGCCCTCGCTGGGCGAGGCCGCCCTCGCCGGCCTCTGGCCTCTGGCCGGTTGCCGGACCGGCGACCGGCCAGAGGAAGGAGGAAGACAACCAAAAAAAAAAGTGGAAAAAAAATAATAATTCAAAAAAATATTTAAAAAATATTAAAGTTGTCCACGTCGGCGCCGGTGACCGGCCGGCAAGCGTCCACGTAAGCAAATTCCGGCCTAAATTGGCCGGAAGGACTAAATTGGCACAAAAATAAAAGGTTTAGGACTGAATTGGCACCAATTTAAAAGGTTTAGGACTTAATTGGCACCAAAAAAAGGTTTAGGATTAAATTGGCACAAATGCAAAAGGTTTAGGACTGAATTGGCACCAAAAAAAGGTTTAGGATTAAATTGGCACTAATGCAAAACGTTTAGGACTTTTTTGGCACTTTTCCCACTTTTTAGGTAATTCTCCCCGGATAAAATAACAAATCAACGTGGCCCACTGGGCTAACTGGCCCGAGTTCGAGCCCATTGGACTCCCATTTCCAAGGCCCAATCACTGATCAGCACCTTCGATTCATCCGCACGCTACTTCTTACGATTCCCGCAGCAGCTTCGACGGTGCGGGGAGCGTGAAGAATGGCGATGATGCAGTTGTTCGGCGCCGTCGCGAGACGAGCTGCGGTGATGGCGAATCGACCGTCCCTGGCTGTTCCGATCTCTTCGCTGTCGTCTGCTTCGCTTCCTTCCTCCTCGTCGTCGTCGATCGGAGCTCCTCCGCCGTTCCCGGTCCTGTGCGGGAGGGGGGACAAGAGGACGAAGAAAGGGAAGAGGTTCAAGGGATCGTACGGGAACGCGAGGCCGAAGAAGGAGAAGAAGATCGAGCGCATCAAGGACAAGGTTGAGGTCCCCAGGTCCAGTCCTTGGCCTCTCCCTTTCAAGCTCATTTGAAATTCCATTTCCGCTCTCTCTCTCTTTCTGTGGTTTCGTTCGCGTAGTTGTAGCTGTACTTCTGATTTACTGATTGGCAATGGATGGAAGCTGTTTTGTGTAAATTTTTGGTGGATTTTCAGTTGGTTTTGAGGTTAGAGAAGTTTGATTTTCTTCGAGGTCAATTGCTATGCCGATTTGAAGGTGTGCATTGTGATGCTTCGAAAGTTTTGGATAAGAATGAGAGTTGTTAGCATTTCGATTCGTGGTGTTTTTAATGGGTAGTCCCTCACGGTTTGCTGAAAGTGAGTGATGGGACTGTTGATGATGACTGGGAAAATTGGAGAATGAGTTCATCTTTGGGGCAACTTTTAGTCTGCATGAGCAGTTGAAGCGTGTACATAAGCGAGGAAAAGCAACTGAGGTTAGCTCTTCGTGCTACAAATATGCTGTAATACAGTTAGAGGATATTGGTTAAGTATGTGGCTTGGATTAGCTTTGGGTCTGAGCTGTTGAGAAATTGAGGAGCCTGACATGCCCAGGAATGAGAGAACTTGTCTGCAAGAAATTGATATGCGAGTTTGCTGCAAGTTTTATATATAATGACAATTTGTCTATAGTTAATCCATCAGTGACCACCGGCCTCATTAGGGGGTTGGAGATCTTGGTCGTCCTAGAAATTTCAGCGTTAAAACGGTAGATTATGCTGCTGACAAAATTCGGGTCTCACTCCTAGCACATCAATCGTCATTAGTGCTTCTGCTGGTGAGAGTTGGTTGTAACGCAATTAGACTGTTGTAACTTGCCTGACAAATCCACCCTGGATTTGTCAAGTCCAATAATAAAATAAACTGGACCAAAGAAAACGGTGGGCACTCCGATTGAGATTGTTAGAGTATGGTACATGCCCTTTATTTCTAGGTTGAGTTGCAAGCTTGTATCCTGTGTGAATGGCCCCATTTGAGAATGACCATTGTGACTGTTGTCATGAAGATTCTGGCAGCAAGTTTATAGGGTGCCTTCCTCTCCTTCTCTGCTCCATGACATGTCCCATGAGATTTTGTGGGAATGCGGAACAAACGGATAAATGGGCGACATTGACAGGAGGATATGGATGCCCGAATTCGGGTAAAATGTGAAGTAATTGGTTATAGGATCTGCATGTTATCTCTTTGGTGAAATGGGACTGGATTTATATACCCCAACTTATCAAATCTGTTTTGATCTCTTCTTATGACTGAAGGTGATCTAAATGCTTGTGTCTATGGTGTAAACCGTATAACGTACTTTCACACGTGCTTATCCTATTCAAGTCGTATGTAGTGCATGCATGTGCAATCTTACGCAGGTTTTTATAAATAAGATTGCTGGGAAAGATACATAATCAATCCAACATGGGAACCACAGCAAAGAAGTATTCGATCTAGCGTTTAAATCATATAAAATGATGGATGATGGAGATGGTTTCACATTTTTGAATATTCAATCTCTTAACCTAGACTGTGGATATGTAAATCACTGCATAATAGGTGTCTTGCTAAACCTTTTTTAGCAAAGGTGAAAAATTCATCTACTACTAATTGTTCAGGCTTACAGTCGTACATGGATTGCATTAGCTTGTTTGCAACTATTAGACTGTCGAAGGATGGGTGAGTCCGAGACTCAAACTACTTGGGCTTTGAGATCTTGAATGCACGCCGTTGATATTATTGCAGCAATATACCACCAGGAGGCGGCAAAGAGAGGATGGGTGCTGTTAATACTTTCTTTGCTAAACCCTTATGTGAGAACTTGATAGAATCTTTCTGATAGTCATCAGAAGAGAAAAGTTCTTTTTTATTTTTTTGAAGAAGAGGCGTCGCGCTACCTTGGTGCGATGCCCTTTTTTCTCTTTGCAACTCCTCGGGCAAATTCAAAAGCAAGTCCGTGACAATGGCAAGTCCGAAGATTTGAAATTAGGATAGCCATGAGAACGAACAATCACCACCCTCATGTAGGATGCCCAATCACTATATTCAGTATCTCTGGGTACCATTTTTCTTTAGTGTAGATCTTCTTAAAAAAAAATTAATTGAAATTATATGAGGAAACATGAAAGAACTCTGGTGAGGGCAGCAGGATGGGTTAAAGTCCTCGTTCAGCTGGCTTGTAGATTCGAGTGCAGCTCCAACTCATGGGTCCAAGCAAACTCCATATCTGTTTAAGAATGTCCTTTTACTGTGTTCGTTCCAATTAGACGAAGTCTTTTCCTGCGAAGTTGGTAGTGATTTTTTTATGCTTGAACGGAAATTTGGCGCGAAATCCGTGACAAGGGAAGGCCAGGTAGATTACATGTGGACCTAATGCATTAATCTGAATCATGCTACTAATATACTCATGAACCAAAAACCCACTTATTTCATGTTTCGCGTTCCTTCATCTTATTCCTAGGGTCTGACTGAGACCCTGGCATCATCCATCTATTTACGCGGGGTCATCCTTGAGTTAAGCCTTTCTTCCTTGGAAGTAATCAAAGCTTGTCATTGCTACGAAACTGCAGATTGGATTCTATTGATATTCGAATAGGTAGGGAATGCGAATATGTATGAGTTAGTTTATGGGTTTATCTTTTCGTCCAATGCCGATGAGAACTCTTTGAGGAGGTACTAGAAAGTTAGATAGAAACCGAAAAACTTGATGCTAGTATAGAATCATTACAATAGCTTATAAGCTTCAAATGTTTTTACACAAACAATATGGGTCTGGAGGCTGCGTGGAGAGAGAGAGAGAGAGAGAGAGAGAGAGAGGAGCCACTGTTCTGCTTCCATGCAGTTCTGTCTCTATCATGCCATCTGTTCAACTCGGTTGAAGAAAAGAATGTAAGATATCGGATGTGGCCATGGACTCTCGTGTGACAACTTAACCCAAATAAGAAATTGCACTCCTTTGCCTCCAGCCGTAGGATCTCCTTCTCATGCTGGGAGAACTAAAGCTAAGCCCCAGCATCCCTCTGAGATCCTTTCCTTGCTCTTCGAACCGGACGAGCTTTGCGACGACGGAAGCGCTCTCCATAACATGATCCATGTCTTCCGTGTCACTCCACAAGCGATTGGCCAGTTGAAGCCGCCTCCTCTTTGAATCCAGACCGATACCCCACTTCTGGAAGAGTCTCTCCCTCTCTGCTTCCGAGAATCTCCTGCGCATCAGCTTGCTCAGCTTCTCCCTCTCCCGATGAAGAGCTTTCGAACTGACCCATCAAATAAATGCCATTAGAATTCCGTCCCTAATGGCTAAGGCATGATATGTACTTACATCAGCAACTGTAAACCGTTCTAGCATCACTTACATGCGACAGAGACCTATTTTACTAATGAAACTCCATATATTCGGCTACAAGTGCTCCAAGGAAACTGGACCCTCTAAAGTAAAACTCAAAGGCAAAGCAAGGAAGCGCGTGTGAGAGGGGAGAGAGAGAGAGAGAGAGGAACCTTGAAGCAGGTGTAAGAACAAGTCCATCTGCCACTGCCTGGCCTCCGCTAGAAAATGTTTCCTTCAGAAAAGTCAGTCTTCGGAGCTCCACCTCCATGTAGATGGAATCTGCTGGATCGCCTCTAAAGAGCAGAAAGAAGTAGGTTCTGTGAACCAATGGAACGCTGCAAATTTGCCAGAGCTTCAGTATTGATCTTTGCTTTCTCTCAAATTCCAGTGGCCGATCTAATGTATTTGTCAACGCGTCTGAAGCTGCTTCTTTCACATTATTTTCGTAATCGTTAGATCTTGACTCCGCCCCCTGTCGAAATTATCAATTCATGTCAGCAGATGTTTATGAACTAATGCATGTGACAGATGTCTTCAGCGACATTTTTAGAATAAGTAATATTTAACAAAAACTTTAATGCATGTCTATGCAACTTTTTTTTAACATTTTTAGCTCTCCAAAACAAAATCACGGCAGGTTCGTTAATGACAGAAAGACAGTAACGAAACTACATCTAGATTCCAACGAAGCCATGAACTTTTAAAACAGGCAGAACAAGTCAAATGCTGATGTATATATTAGAAAATAAAAAGCACAATGAAACTGTACCTATATATGCACAATAAAAGCAAATGACAACTTTTACCTGCTCATCTCCTAGTTGCTTCTCATAGGCACTGGCCATTTCCTTCAGCCCAGAAACGAAAGTATGAACACTAGTGATATCTTCATCTGCAGCTGCACTGACACTCGGAGCAACAGAACCACTTTCCAAAGAAGATTGAGAATTGTTTCTTGACAGCCTTGGAATGCCATTGTCGTAATTTAATGGACGAAACTTCCTTTGAAGTGCTTCAGGTCTTCCAGGAAAGATCCTCTCAAACTCAGTAGGTGGGGTTGCGTTGATGTCTGCCTCCTCAAAGCTGGGAGAGGAGGAACCAGTTACAAGATTTGCTCTACAGCTCAAGCTCCTACTTAGCTTGGGATTTGTAGAACTTGAGATATCATCTGCTGGGGCTCGTGGGGATGTATCACCATGAGGAGTGATAAAGGATTCAATAGTCCTCTGCACATCATGGAGTCTCTCTTCAAGGGCCCCATATCTGGAGAGATTCTGGATGTGACTCCGTTCTCCATTTTCACTGAATGCGGTTGACAATGAAGTCTGACCAGTTCCATCATGGTCTTCTGCTCGTCTCAGAGCTGATACTGCATTTTCACCAAGAGGACTGGAAAGTGCTTCAACATCGTTCTCCCTGCTCAATACTTCCATGTCAACACACTGAACATCCTTGCAGTAATCATCATATCCCCGACCAACTGACGGTGGTGAATATATATCATCTGCTTCAGAATGTTCTTCAGTGTTCTCCCATAACGAATTGTTTCGATGGTCAGAGTTATTTCCATTCATCTTGTTGTGGTAGATGGTTCCGTTCATTTTTCTAACATGCGAATCCAGAGAATGAGAATAGGTGATGCCTTCTGACAATGAACAATCATCTTCCCACGTATCATCTGTTTGCCCGTTAGATTGATGTCCAATTTTAATCTTCGTGGATAGAAGAAAGCGAAAGTTAGAAACAGTAAATACCAGGATGCCACTCAACTTAAAATTCCAAGACAAAAAAGTCGACGTGTACCAGTTTTTTTGGATCTTGATCATTTTCAACCAACTTCAGCAACTCTTCAACCCGAGATTGTGCTACATCCCTTTGCTTTTTCAAT